CCTTAGAACCGTTCGCTACCACGTCTAATCCCAGGCATGCTAGAGGGGTGATATGGGCAAATTTCTGAGAAGAACCAGAACCATATAACCAGAGAGGATCGCGCCAGGAACACTTGATCTTTTTAGCGGGCTCGATGGGCGCTTTGCCGCACTGTGAAGCCGATCTCTAGGACCAGGCTCATCGCCACGAGATGCTGGTCTCTGGTCGAAATGGGTCGATGTTGCCTTTCTCAACGGAGATCTCGCATGAGAAAATACCCCTAAGCTTCCACCGTCAGCCGTGGAAGACACAGATGGAAAATGAGATTGGCGAATGTTAGCACTTCGTGCATGAAGGGGGGATGAGGGATCTGTGCCGTAAGGAGGTGTAGAAACGTCGATTCCAGACGATGATACGCGGGGTGTTGAAGTGGAAGGTCGAGGAGGCTGGCAGTATTGCTTCAGCGCCCCTTCTGGGTCTATGTGGCTGATGTAATTTGGGTTAGGGCTAATTTTGAAACCTCTTCGCATTGCTGGAGTATAGGTGTTCACAGTATTATACGCTTCATCGAAATTGGCGTTGTAAGACATTTCCTCGGAATGCTGAGTAGCCACGCTCCGCATCACAGGCTGTGTTCGGGGGTGGACGTATTTGGTGTCATATTCATTTAGAACTTCTTTATGGACCAGCGTCGAGTCTTTCAATTGTTGCGAGAAGGCAGATGATAGCATGGACATTTGGACTGTTAGTAGTGTCGTCAGAAATAGTGTCATTACAATAGTAACGCTTGGCTGCGGGTCCGCTGCGGAGGTGGGCAGGAAGAGCCAATATATAAAGACATGTCCGGGGCTGAAGAGGCATAGTAGCCGTAGTGATAGCGGATGAGGATCCCACACGCCTAGCTCCCACACGTCCCGTTGCGCGTTTGGATGTGCCCTTGCTTCCGCTGACCCAATGGACAGCACACTAGAGAGAAATCGCATTGGCGACGAAACCATGGGTGATGAGTTCACCGGGACTCGGTGTGCGGAAGGGGTGGCTGGTGCATTGTCGATTGATGCTTCGAATAGTCGATAATGGCGTTTGCGCCAGAAAGTGTAGAACGCGTTGAATAGAGCGGCAAATGCTAATAAATGAACAACGAACGAAGCCTATTGATTGCAATAAAAGTCCACATCAGTATGCAGGTCCATGAATTGTTGTTCCACGTAAAATACTTAGTTACGGATAAAAGGACAAGTCCATGAATCAACGTACAAACCAGCTGAAAAAACTCGCCTCGACCACATCTCCAAAGACGTCATCCTCAATTCTACCATTGCTGGTTCGGCTGTTTGCACGAGCTATGAGGAACACTACATTTAACCCAATCCCTAATGGAATTGACCATTCCTTTTCCCACTGTTCCCAGGCACTCGAATCAAGCTCTTCCGATAACCACAGCAGGAAATCGAGGGGATTCAGGTAAGCCTTTATCCGTTCAGAAAGTGGTCTGCGCCGGATAAGTGGAGGCATGATGAAAGAGATGCCTAGCAACGAGCTTGAGCAGGCGATAAAGAGGCAAATAAACGCTCGTTATCATTAGCCCAACAAGATGTTAGGTTTGTCGTCGTTGCTTCGTCTGGAAAGCTCCAATTACATAAGCTGCAACCATCCACAACATCAACTGCTCTGACGAAATACACAGTTCTACATACAATAGCTCAGCTCTCGGAGAACTCGGCCACATGACTTCCGCATGTGTGTCTAACACGCATATTATATCTGCGATATCATAAATACATTTTGCAACCGCTTGTCGCATCACCCCAGACGCACCCCGGCTAAAACGGCGGGCTGATACCATGGCAGCTCCCGCAGGTACATACAAGGTGTCCAGTCCTCAACCCCTCCTCCCCTTTCCTTTCCGTCCCATCCCCGAATTAATGTTCCCTAACGGCAATACCTTTACTAGGATCGACAATTTCTTGCTGTGATAGGCGATGAGGAGTATGTCCCAACCCAATGCGCCAAACCTCCCGCGTTCCACCCTTTACACAGCTGTATCTAACCCACAACTCCCCCCCTGCCCTCCGATAGCTCCGTCACTGGTCTCCTACTAGCAGGTATTGGTGTAAGTAAGGGGAAAAAAGTCCCCCGTCCAACACGCCGCTATCAAAGGGGAATAAGAAAGAAAAATGAAATCCAGCTTCTCCTGTTCTGTGTGGTTCATTCCATAAGATAAAAAACTAACCGTCACCAAAATAAAATCACAGCACGTAACAGATCCACCAGACTCACAACGAAACTTCCTCGTCGTCGACGCGAAGACAGAAACCTCCGTCATCGAAAAGGCCTTTCACAACTTCACGGAGGTACGCAAGGATATCGGAGTGTTATTGATAAATCAGCATGTATGGGTACCCTCAATCTTCG